AATTATCTTTAATTGATTCTCACCCGGCATATTTCCTTTTAAGACATTCATTTGCAGTACCACATATTACCTATTTACTTCGCTGTGCTCCTTGTTGGAAAGCTCCAAATCTTCTACATGAGTTTGATCATCTTTTAAAAACATCCTTGGAAAATATTACTAATTGCCATATTAGTGACACCGCTTGGTCTCTATGCAATATTCCTGTTAAAATGGGAGGTCTTGACATTCGTGATGCTTCAAGTTTTTGTTTTTCTGCTTTTCTCGGATCAGTTAGCGATGTATCAAATCTTCTTAAAGATATTTTATCATCCGAAATTTTTATTTATCCAGACAACTTTTTTGAAGAAGCCTTTGATATATGGTTTTCTTTTTCAAATATGAGGGATTCATCTTCCAACAATTTCAATCACCAAAAATTTTTTGATGAGGCAATTTGTTGTTCAAAATTTATTCCAATACTGAATTCATCAAAAAATCCAAGCGACCAAGCTAGACTTCTAGCTCTTCAAGAACCAGAGAGCAGTGCCTGGCTCCAGGCTCTGCCATCCTCTGCACTAGGGAATCTTCTAGAAGACACCACCTTCCGCATCTCCGTCTCCTTGCGATTGGGTCATGTGAGACACACGACTGCACTTGCGGCAAAACTGTAGACATTTTTGGGCATCACGCCTTAAGCTGCTACAAAAGTGCCGGTCGTTTGTCTCGTCATGGGCTAATCAACAATATTATTAAAAGGGCTCTGGCATCTGCAGTGCTGGAACCTCCTGGATTATGTCGCGGAGATGGGAAGCGTGTTGATGGGCTCTCCTTATTTTCTTGGTGCAGAGGTAAATCTTTGATATGGGACGCCACGTGCAGGGATACTTTTGCAGCATCTTATTTGGCAAAAACCTGCAAAAAATTTGGAGAAGCTGCACGTGGTGGTGAAATGCAAAAAACATAAAAATATGAAGAGCTTGAAGCCAGTAGGTACATCTTCGTACCATTCAGTGTTGAGACAATGGGCCCCTGGGGAGAAGAAGCAAAATCTCTTATAAATAAAATAGCCAAATTAATAAACAACAAAAATGCTCGCTGTTACATTACTCAACAGATTAGTATTGCAATTCAACGTGGTAACGCAGCTTCAATACTTGGGACCATTCCTGAAGATTCTGGCTTGAAAGAATTTTTTTACATCTAGCGGTATTTTTTGGGCTTTGGCCTTTTTTTTATATTATATTTTTTATATTATTATATTTTATTTAGTATGTAGGTAATTAACTTGTTACCCTATTTAATATATTATCTCGTTATATATAGGTATGTAATCTTTATTCTTTAGTGTGTAATGTAAGGAATATTTTGTTAGCTGTTAGTTGTTTTCCTTCTATTTCCCTGGATAGGCTATCATTGTTATTCTTGTTGTATTTTCTTTTGTATATATTATATTATTATTATTATTATTATTAGCACAATAAAAAAGAATGTTAGTGAAACTATTCGTTTTAGAATGATTGTGCTAGGTTGTGCTAGCTATTAGCCAGCTTGTGAAACAGTTCCCAAGACCAACCCCCGAAAAATCCCCAACGTTAGCTGTCCCTCGCATTTGTGCATTATTATTTTAAAACAAATAGTTGTGGTACGTGCTAGCATTGTTTTTCATTGTGCTAGCTCCAATTTAGAGGGAGGCAGGTGAACGGAGCTCTAATAATCTATGGCTTGAAGAAATTTTTAAATTTATTTTTTGAAAATGGTGAATGCGCCATGATACTGTTCTACTCTTGGATTTCATACAGTCTGTAGGTATTTTATTGAAAGTTTGGAATCGTTTTCATCTGGGAAATAAAATTTCTTGGATAAATGTGACTGGAATTATACAGAGTGATTCAGCCATGATAATGTATTGTAATTTAGAAGCTAGATTACAAAATCATCTTTTTCACTTATGTTCTATCTTGAGGTTTTTGAAATTTCAATGGGAAGATTTAGGACTTCCTCTCTGATCGATAGTCAATAACATTGAAGTGTTTTTATCTTTAGTCTTTAACCCTATTGAATTTCATTCAGATAAATAAAAATATACATTACAATTTCCATAATAGCAAATGCTATACATACATTTCAATGGAATTCTATTCACAAAAAGCAGTTTAAATAGGCCAGAGCCGATATTTCATTTATTCTCCAAACAAAATGTAAAACCACTTAATCCTGAACAAGTTTCCGAATAGAGAACAAAACGTTTAAATCGAATACATAAGTCAAGAAAGAGGCAGATCGGGGAAGAGAAATCCTCTTTTCCAAAGTTCTCGGAGGTATTATACGATCTTTAAATTGGAGTCCGCCGAGAATTTATCCATTAGATGAATTGGGTCAGGTGTTTCTTTTTGTTTTATTTTGGAGGAGATTTATAGAATTTGAGCTACTAGTGCTTTTAAACAGATTGTCCTACACTTGACGGATGGCTTTATTGGAAATCTGCAAGTGCATCGTTTATAAAACCACTAAGGAAATATTATGTTTATGTATTTTCGTACCTATACAATAGTCTAATTTACCGATGGGTTCAGATTGACCAGCCTAATTACACGTCAGAAAAAATGTTTTTAAGTAGGTATAAAGTTATTCTTGAAAAAAATATTCTTAAACTACCTACTTACCTAATTATTATGCTATTTGATTTAAATGATTGCTTTTTGTAAAGAAGAACATATTACTGTTAAATAAAAAAACGCATATTCTTGATCGCCAAGATTCCGATATATTTTATTGGACATGTATTCTTGATCCAAAAAAATGAGAAGAATACAACGAAGAACAGATATAAATTATATTTGATAATTAATTCGCATTCATTCAAGAAAATGCAAAATTTAAGTCATAAAATTTTACAGTTGATATTAATTAGTCTTTGTATAACATTGAATCAAAAGAAATTTATTTATGAACCAAGAATATTCATTTTTAATTGTAAGAAACATACCCTTGAACGAATGCTTTAATTAATTTTATTAAGAATATTTTTTATTGGTGTTTAAATTGATAAGTAATCTCGAATGGATATTTGGTCCAATTTCTCTCAAGAATGGATTATTCTTGCTGGAATTATTTTATATTTGCATTAATTATTTTATACTTCATGTTTCATATGAAATTTATAAAATATCCGTTGATGAAGTTGGTGTAAAGTATACAAGAGTCTGGGGAACAGACAGGCGGAGCTCCGAACTTTCACGAACGTCAGCGTGTCGCGAAGCGGTCGAAGAGGAGGGCGTCGAAGTTCCGACCGCCCAACGTATTTTATTCACATTTTATTATTATTCAGTCATAGGTACGAGAGAAGAGAAGTTTTTTTCTAAATTCAAGTCAATTATATGATTATAGGTTTATAAATAAAAAACGGTATCATTCAGATAAGTTATTAAATTAATTTTTTTTCTACGAACGTACCATCCAACTTTGGTACCATGTAGGATATTTTCCACTGGCAAATCTCGTATGTATACACGATTTTCCTATAAGTTAGGTATATATTTCAATCATTTTTGGACAAAATATTATTTAAAAATGACTAAAATGAGTATTGTATGCAACAATTTTGCATTAAGTATAATAAAAATACATATACCTGGGCATATTCCATACCTATTTAATTTTGGTACTTGTTTTCAGTTTTTAACCATTGAACCCTTTCTATAAAATCGGTCCAATAAGAAGCAGGTTTGTTACAGGCTTACGTCATATTCTTATTCAGGGGCCAGTTCAGAATGAATCGTTCCTTCTTTCTTTGTAACGTGTAATTTGACAAAGAGCAAACTAATACTTTACATATTACTGAACTCACCGCAGTGTCGTTTAAGGTTATGTTGAATTGGGTACATTCAGGCGGTGCCAGCGGCTTAGTTCAGCCACTCAGCGGGAACTTTATTCTTGAAACAGAGGAGCAGCGTTCTCATTGGAACGAAGGTTCTGTCTTTTACGTCCGGCATGGCACTGACAATAACAGAGCAATCGTTCTTATGAGAACGTTGTTCCTTGGTTTCGAGAATGGAGTTCCCGCTGAGTGGCTGAGCTTAGCCGCTGGGACCGCCTGAATGTACCCATTTATACTTGACATATTCCTTTGCAATTTCATTGTGCGATGTTGCCGGATGAAACATTTATCAAAATAAAAGTGCAAACGATGTTAACATACACTTTTCAAGCGCTTCTTTTGTCTGATTTAAGGCGTTGTAAAACACTTGACACTATATCACTTCTTTAGTGTTATAATGTTCGATTTGAATTGTCTACATTTGTTCTGCAACAATACAATCTGGCTACACTGCACCTCCGAGTTGCGCGCGCATCTTTTATTACTTTCTAACTTGTATTTATTACAATTAAGCTCCCTTTTCCTATTTATGCGAGACAGGTCTTAATTGCCTCCCATACATTCCATAAGCTTATCCCATTGATTTTGACTTTTTTCTCGTGTTTCTTTGCAAATTTCCACAGGGTGTCAGTTTAAGACAATAATATACCACAAGATAAACATTAAATACAAAATCATTGGACTAGGTATACCAAACAATTATTAACCAAATCCAAACCGATTTTATTCCATGCGAACAAGACCACCTCAAAGAAATAGAACCTCTCAGACCTATTAGTGACCAAATGCCAATGGATCGAGGTCAGAATATCTCAGCCAAATAATCAATCGACTCGGTACTTGAGAATCCACAATTCTTGCCTAAATGGTAAATCAAATAAAATACCTAAAAAACATGGAAGCTAACGACAAGAAAAAAATTGGAAAATTATTTTCCCAGGCATGGAAACTACACCTTCCTGTAACTTATTTAAGTGTCCAATTTCAAAAAGTCTAACTAGATTAGTTGCATAAAAACAGATAACAACAAACCACCGAAATTAATCACCAAAACTGCGAATATACCAAGGCATTTAGTACAATTTCGTGTTCAGCAACGGGTTCTTATCTTAAAAACCACTTGAACGGCTTTTGAGATTAGAAAAGAATTCAAACTTATATAAAAGTTGAAACATCTACATGGCTATAAAGTGCGAATTATTTCAAAAATCGTAGTTTGATACATCAAACAGAGCCAATCATGAAAAGTATCTCTCTCTGCCTAGTTATATTTTGCTGCGGTAAGTGAATTTAATGGACTTATCAGTTGTATCTAAAAAAAATTTTAGGCGTAGCGTTAGCTGTTCAGTATTGTTCTATTTGTGCATTTGGAGATTGCCATAATAATGTTACTTGCCTTGATCAAGGTGTAAGTGATGCCCAAGGATGTATATCTTTCTGGGTTGACTATGGATCAGGAGGTAAAGTACAATTCTCAGATATCTATACATATTAATTAATATGTAGGTATGTGTAATATGCAAAAATATCACATGGATAAATAAACTCAACCCTCGGATGACCAAGGTATTTTTTTACATAAGTAACCAAGGGTGGGTGTTATTGACACGTTTCAATTATTGTGAGTAGTGTGAAAATATTGTGCTGCTGCTATCACCCCTAATATCTAATTCACGCGCGGACTTACCAATACAAAAGTTATTCGACAAACGTACACCAAGATTATATTATTGTGTTAGGCATTATTTCCAGTTAATAGGACATAATATAATAGTGAAACGAATCTGCAATAAATGGGTTCTTCATTATCGTTCCACAGGGTGCGTATTTCTCTGACAGTATTTGATGTGGTAGGTATTTGTCCCGTAGAAAAGAAATCCCAACACAATGTCAGCAAAGTGAAACTCCGTATGTCTCGAAATTATCATAATTGACAAAACAAAAAATTTAGTGAAAGTGTCCTTCCTATTTAAGCATGTAAAAAAGTACTTTTCGCACGCTGTTCGGAAAAATCGATTTCCTAGGTAAATTTAGTATAAAGGCCGGGACACACCTATCATGCATCCTTCCGATTCGACTCCGATCATACAATCGGATGAGTGTCTGAGAGGAGAATGGTACTACACTTTAAACAACGTAGTTCACACCTTTCCGGCACGTGCCCATTCCAGCTCCCACCCGACTCCTATCCTGTAGCCGATCATGGTCCGATTGTTTAATCTATCCGTTTTCCAGCTGCTGTTTAAGTTTTTGGCGGTTTCTTGCTGGAATGGGACAAATGACGGCTATGAGGAAAAAGTGTGGAAAACTCTCCTTTCGCAGATCTTCTTTTCCACGCAGCATGCACCCAAAATCTGCGTTTTTCGCTGTTCTCCATCAAAAATCTCCAATTCTTTATCTTCTTGTTCTAAACAAAGTGTCACCATGTCCCACCATGGCTAAATCTCAAGACGCAGTTGCTTATATTTTTGAACATTTCGCACACAGGACCTTCCGCGATATTGTTTGAATCGAGAATGACAAATGGCGAGTGTAACAAGCCAGAGCCGGAAATCGGAAAGAAACCGGAAACGAGGACGTGTGCTGACCCCTTTCCGATCCCGCACCGATCCGATTCTTTGAGTAACATCGGATCGGAGTCGGATCGGAGGGGTGTATGACAAGTGTGTCCCGGCATCAAATAGTGCATTTTTAATAGTATTCTAGAGCAGTCGTGGAAAAATAGTATATTAAAATACAAAATGCAGAAGGCCACATATTCCCGCACGAATTCGAAATTTGGACACAAGCGACGAAGGAGCGAGTGGACGAACGAATGAGTGCGAGAATAGCCTTCTGCAACGTGAGTTTTATACTATTTTCTCGATTTTGGATTTAATTTTTCATTAAAAAAAAAAAATGTGATCGCTGTTAGTTGGGGATTTTTCTTCTGCAAAATATGTCAGTTGGTGACACTTACTTATCAAGCAACTGACAGGTGAATTTCATTATTTTAAAAGGTTTGACAATTTTGAAGGTACCAATAGGTAAACTTTGAGAACTAAATGTCACTAAAAATCGTTGAAGAATGAGCTTCATTCTTCAATGATTTTGCGCGCGAGAATAATGACATTCTCTCATCAAAATCAGGAAAAGAGGTTTTCCACGTCCTTAGTCCTTCATTAATCATTTCCCACTGAGCCCAACCACAATAAATTATGTATATGCATTGTATCATCTGTTATTATTTACGCAAATATCACTTCTGACAAAAATAATTATTTTTTTAGCAAATCTTTCATATACTGGCTGCTGGGACCCGAAGTATGGAACATGTGAACAGATCGTTGAAGCGGAAAAGATGAATGGACATGAAGCTGGGTGCAAGATTTGTTCTGAAGACAACTGCAATGCTCCATCAGTTTCGGTTTAATAAGCTATATCCTTTTCATAATGTGAATGACAAATAAAATAATTTCTTCGAGTTTCAATTAAATATATCTTACATCCTTAGTTGCGCTGTTTTCATTATTAATGTAATTTTAATTGTATACAGGGTGTCCCATATAAAAAACCTGCGGATTTTGGAAACGGTAAGAGATACAATTTTGGTTAAATGGAGGAAAAGCTGCCCAAGTTCCAAGCCCTTAATCAGATGATGCGTCGAAATTGGAAATATCTACAGGGGTTTTCGGAACATTGACCAAAAACTAAAAATTGTGTTTTTCGAAAAATTGAAATATCGTCGCCATTTTGTAAACAAATTAATTAAAATTCGGTAGTTTTGTCTTAGCGACTACGGGCAATCAAATGACGTTAAGAATTTTTTTTGTTATGAGTCCAAAAGCCCAAAAACATTTAAAAAATCTTACAGATCGTTTCGCCAGTGTTCCTTGAAGCTTGAAAAAAAGGGCTGTCCTAGATTAATTCATATGACTCTGCAATTTTTTTTACAAATTAAAATGAATGACTTCTGGTTTAAGAACCGACGAACGTTTTTGACGTCATTGATTTGTTTCAGTCAATTTCTATTTGTTATTAAAGGAAGGCAAATTATGTCAAAAGTATGAACCTTGGTGAAACAAAGCTTACATGTAATGTTGACTTTTCTGATTTTTAAAAACGTTTGAAAATATCACTTTTTTGACTTTTACTTTCCACCCACGGGTCGAGAGTTTACTTTCCTTCCGTGGGCCGAAAGTAAATGAAATTGTTAAAATTTATTGTATTTTTTGACGTTTACTTTCCACCCACGGATCGAAAGTTTACTTTCAATACCTTCCTCCCGTTGGCCGGAAATAAATGAAATTGAAAAAATTTATTGTGTTTTTTTAATATTCATTCAAATGAAAATTACAAAATTCGAATGATTGTAAATAAAATAGTATAGATACATACCTCGGTGAAAAGTTTTATTACTGTTTCGAGATTCTAGTTAGACCGAGGCGCAGCCTAAAATCTCTCGACCGAAATATATACTATTGTCATCTTTCTTTTTATTTCTGTTGAGTTTCATGATAAAAAAATGTTTGATTTTAATTTAATTATCAAGTAATTAATACCTAATTGACAGATGGTCATGATTTTAATAATTCTAAAAAATAAAGGCTATGGTCCGAATATAACCGAATCGGTTGACAGATGGTTACTGAAAATTCCGGTTACTCGGGCAACGCGAACATGAAATAAAAAATAACTGACAGAATTTACGGATAAGACCAACAGAACCGACATTGACCAGTTTCCAGGAAACCAAAGTCCAAAAGTAACCACTTTTCCAGGAACCAGAGTAATTTGATAGCTTTCCGACCACGAAACCACAACCCTGGGTATATTTGGACCATAGCCAAAATAGTAACTTCCATTCATTTGACAGGACATAGGTACTGGAATACATAGAATCTGGAATATACGATATAGGTACGTTTTTTTTTTGTAGGTAATTATTATCAAATTGAAATGTTAATTTTTTTTTTCAAGACTTTTTCGGGGCCTCACTTTCCACCGGGCCCAAGGCCCGGGCCTTATGTGCCTTTTGGTAAAATAGGCCTTGTCTAAACATCAAATTGGGAACTGGAACATTGACGTGATGAAAAGAATAATATTAAAGTTTGTTTTGTCCTGTGGTTGTTTACTCTTAAATGTGTAAATCAGGACAGTTTATATTAAATAATTTTGGTCGATTATAGATTTTATAAAGTTGATGAATTCCACTTTTGAAAATATTGCCATAAAAACTTTATCGCAATCTCAATCTTTAGTGTCTTTTTTTAAAATTTATTTTATCAAGGTGAACTTGGATAACCCTACCCCATACATGGTCCAGGACGTAGAGTCGTCAAAAGTTATTGGTTTTATCTTCATACTAAAGAATGTCCCAATACTAACTGGATTGATGGACTGTATTTCTAATTTATTCTCCGTATCTTCAAGTGCTCGAACTTGGTCCTTAACTTCTTGTCTCAATGGGGTACTTGCATCAATTTTTTTTATGGCTGATTTCGTTAGTCGATAAAAAATAGGTCAACACGTGTTTTTTTTCTTTTTCTTCTTAGTCAAAAATTGACGGAGATACAACACTATGAAATATTCCTATGACACTTATCTTATAAATTAGTAACGTTGCACATGCTCAGTATATCTATACAGGGTGGTCCATTTAACTTGAGACAGTCTAATATCTCGAAAACGGTGCGTTTTTGAAAAAAAAAGTTCAAATAAAAGTTACATGGTATCATGTGGGAAACAAAATGGCGGTACTGATTTTTAACTTTGACAACGTTTTCAAGGTTATTTCAAGGTCAACTCTTTTTTTTCAATGGAAATATATTTTTTTATTACAGAATCTTATTCTACAGAAAAAAAAACAAGTAACTTTTACTTGAAGCATTTTTTGATCCGGTTTCAATTTAAGCTGATAAAAAAGAACGAATAATTTTTTTGTTTTCTCCTCACAAAATCGAACAGTAGAGAAAGGTTACCAAAAATACCTCAAAAACTATAATAATTGATCAAAATGTCGATCGCCAACTTCAACACACTTGTCAATTCACTTTAAAAATCAAACACACGGTTCATCAAGAGGTGCCCACAACACCGGATAATATGATGGAACACATAAGAAATGCTTAGAGCTAAAGAAACTGTAATTTGGTGCCATGAAAGCTTTTTACAGCGAATTAACAAGTGTGTTGAAGTTGGCTGTCGTCAATTTGATCAATTGTTATATTTTTTGAGGTATTTTTGGTAACCTTTCTCTACTTTTCGATTTTGTGAGGAGGAAAAAAAAATTATTCGTTCTTTTTTATCAGGTTAAATTGAGACCGGATCGAAAAATGCTTCAAGTAAAAGTTACTTGTTTTTTCCTGTAGAATAAGATTCTGTAATAAAAATATATATTTCCATTGGAAAAAAAGAGTTGACCTTGAAATAACCTTGAAAACGTTGTCAAAGTCAAAAATCAGTACCGCCATTTTGTTTCCCACATGATACCATGTAACTTTTATTTGAACTTTTTTTTCAAAAACGCACCGTTTTCGAGATATTAGACTGTCTCAAGTTAAATGGACCACCCTGTATACACAAAACTTAATATTTGAATAGCTTCCGGAATAATCATATTTGGGCAAAATAAAAAAATACGTTCCTATCAATTTTTTTTTCGATTTTCTACAGTTTGCAATAAACAATAATCAATTTAATTTTTCGTGCAAGTACCCTGCTTTTACTTCCTGTACGGCGTTTTTAACCTCTCGAACATCGACTTTAACTTCTCGAACATCGTCTTTAACTACTCGAACATCGTCTTTAACTTCGGCTTTTACTTCCGTAATCGTTCGTTCTAAGTTAGCGATATATCCGTGTATGGTTTGAAATATTTTCTGTAGTTGTCCAAGGTCTTCTTGCCGTTATTTTTGTCGCCTGGCCTCTTCGTCTTGTTTTTCTTGTTGTTGTCGTTTAGCCTCTTCTTGTTGTCGTCTAGCTTCTCCGTTTTTTTTTTTTTTCTTTTTTTCGCCTAGCCTCTTCGTCTTGTTTTTCATGTAGTCGTTTGGTCTCTTGAAGTTCCAACATTTTGCGCAGAAGTTCTTCCACTTTTTGTTCTGCCAGTTTTGCTTGTTGTCACGTAATAGGCATATACAGAATTTCTCTCAAACTTTATTCAAATATCTTTCCTGGTCTTTGCTTGAAGTTCCAAACACGCCAGTGAAGTCACAAATGGCAACTTGCTTTATTTTCGAATAGAATGTTCTAGAATTTTTTTGAAATGTGTTTTCTAGATGTCGGTGAAGTCAAAAATGCAATATCTCCCTTGGCTTCCAAATAGATTGTTCTAGAATTTTCCCGAAAGTCCTCGAAATTCTTTTTCTGAATGACGATTGATGTATCGAATACGTTAAAATACATTGCTGTCAGCTATTATTAATCAAATTCTATCAATTTTGACAGCAATGCATTTCAAATGGGTCAAAAGTTCAAGTACCAGTCGAGTTCAGGTGAAACTCTGTTTTGAACCAAGATTGTACAACTGCGCCTAAGTCTCTTTTGGTGATTTTGACTGCTTACACTGACTCACTGTGTCAGTGTTCACTTAGTGTCCATATACTAGTGTCCGCAATAGTCTACACTATTCTGCAATTGGATTTCACTTTGCAGTCCTCAAATTATATCACACTTTCGACACCAATGTCACGGCTTTGGGGTGCGTGACAGAAATCTTGCGTTTATTCCAAAATCAAAGTCCAATTAGGCATTTCAACGAGACCTGTCAAAAAGTGCGTTGTGGGCGGAAGTTCATTAACCCGTATATGAGAGCATGGCTTTTTAAAGTGCATTTTGTGGTTGTTTTGTGAATGAACTCTGTTTATTTTTTCATTTTATTGACTTCATTAGTGTTTCTTCCAATTAAAAATGCCACAAACGTGTCATGTAGCTGATTGTGGAAGTAGTTTCAACAAGGTAACAAGGATGATGTCAGGCTTCATTGCCCTCTGTTTCAAAATTTTCCAATTAAAACGTGAATTTTTTTCACTACCACTGTTCCTGCATCTAAAATTAAGCCAGACTCAAAATACTTGTGAGAATCTAAGCTTTTGTAGGCCTTCATTTACTCATTGATGTGAAATTTGTGAAAACCGTGGGTTAAAATGTCAACTGGACATTTTTTCAAACTAACCGTTCGCCCACATCCCGATTTTCCTGCATTTAAATCTTTAAATATTCACTCTGCATCTCAAAAAGTATATCATAACAAAGTAAACTGTAATTAGCTTGAAAATATTCCAAATAAACTCAAGATAAACAAACAAACGTCAAATTTTCCACACTTGCCATATTGAAAAATCACGTGGTTTGGAGACTGGTTTTTTCAATATATCCCCATGCAAAAACGTGTAATGAACCGCAAAACAATAATCAGCTGATTGAAATGACAGTGAAATTGTGCGATGTTGCCGGCTTGTACAAATTAAAGCGCGTTAGGTTTAAAAAAAAAAAAAAACTTTACAAAATGACCGTCAATATATCTTTTTAATAAATA